TCAAGAAAATTCCCCCCAACATCGATAAGTCGTTGGCCGCCACCTTTTTCGCTTGATGCCAGCGTGCACGCTCTTGGTATTGCAATGTGTTTCATTCCTATTCTGTGGTATTTTCTATGCTTTGATATGATTTGATACGATTCGCATCCCATGTCATTCGATGGGATTTGATCCCATTCGAATTTTTCGAATGTATTAGAACTAGTGAAAATAAAATGATTTCGAACCATATAAAATCGTAGATACGATGTTCGAGATTCAACAGCGCTCAATTTCATTAAAAAATTATATAAATAAGTCCGGATTGTGGAATCACATCAATGCTTATTAATACTTTGACCCGATTCGACCTCATTAAACCGATTTTTCGCTGGGTAGCACGGTTCGATCTAGTTTCTTTCAGTCCACGCGACATCCCTGGGCTTGAAACCACACCTCCCCCCAGTCTCCACTTCTCTTGCCGTCACGCCTGATACGTTCTCTCGGGATTCCGATGAGACACAGTGCCTCGGTCCCATCCTTATCCACAGCAGTAGATGTACACGGGCTATAGATAAATCGCGCAGGCATGCAAATAACTCTCATGCTACACCAGGGAAAGGGAACAGATGGTTTGTCAAGTCACGATAACGCTCGGCACGGGCCCGACCTCATCGATCATATCTGCGTCTTGTGCCCTATCGCGCGCCACGCGCCGCGCAGCCGACTTGGCCTCAAGCTCTTCGACTTCTTTGGTCAGACGTTCCTGCGAGACGCTTCAGCTCTTTTCTCACACAAGCACATCAGGGAGGGGGGAGAAATGGGACAACGCGTACCACACGATTTTCCAACTCGCCCTTGTCGAAAATGGAATATGGGGCTGGCGGTTTTGTTGAATGTTTGTCCCCTAAATAGTGCAAGGGATGAATACAGAGCTGGGCAGTGACAGTTGAGCGAATGTCAACTGACCAAAGGCCGCGTGAGTGAAGATTTCGTTCATGAGTTCGTGATTCCGCCGGTAGCGCGTCAGCGCGAGGGTCCGAGTTGATATGTGCTCGAGTTCCTCTGCAGAGTCTTCTTCGTCATGCCGCTGTGGGGGTTGTGGTTGTCTCTATAAAAGGAGTTAAGAGAAAAGGAGTTGCACTACATATTATGGCGACGCGGCACACCTGCCCAGGGTTTATGCTGGCGCCGCGCTCGCGCTGGTTACGACGCTCAAGCGCTTCCATCTCGCGATTTTGTTGGGCGAGCATCGCCTGGGCATCCGGCCGCCCCCCAACTCCCACTCCCAGGCCAACTCCCGCGCCTACGCCTACACCCACGTTAGGCGGCATGCCTCCGACAGGACCTACGGGTGGGACACGCTGCCCTTGCCTCTCGCCGAGAACGAAGACGGCCGGCTCGTTGTGCTGACGCAGAGGGTACTGCCGGACTGGTTGGGCCTGCAGAGCAGGCGGGACGGCTGACGATTGCAGGTATGGATGGATGAGAAAAACGGAGATATGGAGGAAAATAGAGGAGGGACCAACGCATCGATTGCCCGCGCGAATAATGAACGAGGACGAGGAACGGGTGGCCTCCTTTGACGAGGCGGTACCGCCTGCGCACGCGTGAAGCAACCATCTCCCCTGAGAGAGGCACAAATCCGTGACGCGCCTCGGAAGCTTCAAGTTCCTATCGATAGAACGTATGAGTACAAGGCAAAAACTCGGACAGTGGCACCAGTCACGTACGCGTCCTCCTGGAAGCGGGATGGTATAACGATGCTCATGCTCTAAATATCGGATGCCATCGAATGGAAAGCTAACGCCACCGGGTATAAAGAGGAGATATATTTGGCCATCTGCAGCGCATCAGCAAAGGGTGTCAGTGCTGCGGAGAGGCGAACCTGGTGGTTTGTCAATGTAGCTAGGTTGAAAGGCAATCTGTGTGGCGAGGGTGACGGCGCGTCCCAGCATCTGAACAGCAACATCATGAGTGAGACTTGCGTGAGGTGGTAAGTTTTCAGGAAAGCGGAGACAGAGTCCCTCTGCTTGAAGACTGTTCGACATGTTGTCGATAGAGAGGGGTGGCTCGGTGATTATGTAATAAATGGGGTCATCAGAGATCCGCAGCCCCCACGTCGGACATCCTATGGACTCTACGGGAAACCACCATAGTTTGCTGCAGCTCTTTCCCAGTGAGCTGATTACTAAGATCCTGGCCATGCTCGATTATCGAGACCTCGCCATTTGCATGCGAGTGCGTGCTCAGACTTCTTTCGGAATGCTTCCTGCAATATTAATCGCCGGCAGGTGTGCAAACGTATGCTCGATCTGGTTGGCCATTCCTCTTTATTACAATATCACCTCGAATTGGGAAGATCGTGTATGGAAGATGGCCCTCTGAGCAGCATGTCGATCGCAGAGCGCAGAGAAAGGCTGAAGGCACACAACGACGCTTGGAGGGACCTTCGGTGGTCTGCCTGCATCCACTTGTTTGACTTGCATCCTAATACATTCGCCATGGAAGTTGCCCAGGGTGGGATCCTTGCGTTTATTTCCAGGAGTGAGGGCAAGATCATGTTTGTCCAGCTTCCGTCCAACTCGCGTGGGATTCAGATGAGACAATGGGAGCACTCTTTTCCTTTTCTTCCATCGATGTGTGCTCTCGATCCCTCCGAAGACATTCTCGTCGTATTGCAGCGCGAAGAGTAAGCATGCTTGGATTCAATCGCGAGTAGCCCCCACCTCACAGTACTCTTCTCTTTCTAGGTGGCGCATACACTTCTTTTCTCTCAGAAGCGGGGAACCACATCCATCGGCGGCTATCTTTCCATTCTTCGACCCTCCTCTCCACTATCGTAATCAAGCGCATTTGCAGCTCGTTGTGTCTCGGAACTATGTCGCCGCTCTGATCCCAGGGCATGAACTGATGATCTGGGATTGGAAGTCCGGTCGAATCGTGCTCGTGCGTCCGGTGGCTACCTAACACGACCGGCGGTACTGACTCACGTATAGTGCATCACGTCCACCGGTGTTCGAAGCGTTGTGTTCTTCCCGGAGAATCGCATATTGCTCGCCTCTGTTCATACAAGAGACCTTGTGTGGCACGCGGACCTTCTCTGGGCACTAGCAGATGGCCCAGCTCTGGTGGTGTACAATTTAGATCACGCTGTGTCTGGATCGTGGCTAAGACAACGTATACCCGTTCCCGTTGCCATTTTTGCTCTCGAACTTGGCCACGACATCATCCCGATCGACATGCTCTTGCATTACCGCCTCAACGCCCACTCCTACTCCTCCGAGGTGGCCGTTCCCTTCTTCGGCTCCCCAACCGACCAAGTAATGGCCCTTCAAACGAGTAGCCATCTTAAGCCGTCAGATGCCCAAGGATTAGCCCTCCAATTACGCCACGTCCTTATCATTCCTATCGCTAAGCTACTGCACCATATCGGTACCACCGAGAATAGTCGTACTTCCTACATCCTATGGTATGACTGGGGACCGATGGGGACTTGTAGGGTACCCGATCCACGGTTCTCACACCACTTTCAGAGTGCACTTTCTGGCCCACGCTTTATCCCTCGCCCCGAGATGCATAATTTTATTGGTGTCTGGGACTTCAGCCGAGCTCATGTTGTGCCACACTCTGTACGCGTCTCGGAATCCGTCCCGTGCGTCCAGAGGGAGGCGGAACTCCCAGTTGAGAGCATGGGGAGAGTCACCGCGGCTATTAGTGAGGATGTTATCGTGTTACGCGAGGCGAGTATTATCTCCACATCGCCTTATCTTTGTGCAGCTCACCGCGTTTGTTTTCAGACCCGTATATCGGAGGAAAGAGTGTATCTTCTCGTTTTCTAGATTTTGTCAAACATGGATGGCATATATCGGAGATGGCAGCTTGATCGGTGACCCCCTCGCTTTCGCGATAGGACAACGATCGATACCATCGTCCCGCAGTCGTACAGCTGTCTTTCTCAGATTCCCTGTTATTTTCCCGACTTTGCGCCCGAAAGCTATGGAAATTATGGAGAACTTGTCGTATCAACGTCTATCGCCTATCCTAATGGGGTTCATCCTGAATACCGTAGGTGCTTTTCGGCGTCCCGAGAGGGCGTCGATCGCTGACCTGATTATCCATCGTCGGACGTTGTCCAATATATGTATGGCACCGTGCTTTGCGCCCTAGGGTAACTCAAACGTGAAAATTCCAGCGCCACCCAAGCGAGCAATTAGAACCCCATATTTTCCCGATGATATGAAAATCTAAAACAGTGCGCCGTAGATGCGAAGGCCATTGGATCCCTGGGACTTGGTAGATTACGATCCGCGACGTTCCTCAGAGGAGTATCACAGATGGAGCCGATGATAATTCATCCCGCGACGACAGATTCCGGAGATCATCTGGCTCACAGCCTGCCAGCCTGCTCAGGCTAGCGAGTGTCGTGGCATTGAGCAAACTCAGAAGTATATGAAAGGGGCTACGAAGAGTAGATTCCCCGACTGCAACTTGCCAACCACACGGTTGTTTCTGTCAACTGAGAGAGTCTTACATCGCAGAAGCAGTATCGTCCATGGCCTAGGAGCCTAGGGGGGTTAATGATGATCTGCGAATCATGTTCCTACCTAGTCATCTAAGCACCCAGATTGCTTCACATGTCACTCACACCGAAGGTTTGCTACGGCAACACATCAAAAGTTGTTGGATATTTTACTGATGCAGGTTCAGGCCAGTCGGGCAATGTCTGTGTAGCCAGCTCGCGACCTTCTATGCCCGTGATTGCCTCGATATTTCCTCAGGTGTTAATTTAAGTGCCTCTTCCCATTTATCGATGTAGCATCGCCGAGTCGACTTCTCCGGGGACAGCCATGTAGGTTGTTCAGCTCAAGCGCCGGGTATCCTGGACGACCTGCTGGTCGTGGGACCAACTGAGATATGTCCAAAACCAAACATATATTATGCACAAGACCAAACCGATCAACGTTCAAACACAGGGGTTACTGTAGCGGTAGGGCAGGAACAGCAAAGAAAAAAAAAAGTGGACACACCCGGAATTGAACCGGGCACCCCCCGCATGCTAAGCGGATGTGATAAACCAACTACACCATGTGCCCTTGCTCCGGACGCGTTGCTTTGAATCTATGGCAGTTGTATTTTGCCTCGCGTCCCGACTCACCCCCGACTGCCATCCCACTCCACTTTCCCCTCGACAATCAGAATAATGTCGGACCACAGCAAGCCCCTCATTGGCTCCGTTTATGAGCGGAAGACAGGTTCTTCTACGCCTGCTCCCCCCGCACCTAAGGCAGTCGGCTCAACAACTGGTTTTCCTGCGGCACAACATAGATCGAAGAGTGCCTTTGCCCGGAACCGAGAAATACAACAAAAACCTGCTGTGCCGTCATCGCGCGCTGCAGTACCGGCTGTCGTACAGCTTGCACCACGAGCACAAGGACTTGTACCATCCGAAGATCCCGCTTCTGTTGACTGGCGTGTGCAGATGAGCGAGGAGAATGAGAGGCGTGTGGCTACAATGACAGAAGCGGAAAGGACACAAGAACGAAGAGAGATCGAAGAAAGATTTGGAAAGAATGTTGGGGATGTGCTGAGAAGAGCGCGGATGGCTCGGGAGGCTATGGAAAATCAACAAAAACCTATTTCTTCCCCGGATGGAGGTCCCGCGCCAGACCAGCCTGACGCTGGTAACACGGACACTGCGCCCTCTGTGCCCCCAGGTCCGTGCGAAGTCGTCATGTTACACTCACGGATCTGACACTCGAAAGCAGTCCGCATAGCGCCGACGGGTACGCTGACCCATCTTCCATTCCTAATGTACACTTAGTCTCCAACTTCAGGCGAACCATCGTTAGGGCCACCCTCCCCTTCGCCAATTCTCTCCAGTTCTAGCACACGGCCTTCCACCCCTGTGCGCGCGAATCGCAAACTACGCTTCGCGGACGTCACTCCTAGCGATGTTCATGTCTACGAATCTGCCCCTCCGTCACCACGAAGAAAACCACTTGCACTCCTCCCTCCATCAGGGAACGACATTGCAGTGTCTCTTGGCCAGTGGAAAGGCTCCACCCCTGACTCCATCAAGTCGGCCAATTTCTCTGAGCCACAGATAGAGGTCGTAACAACCCCAAATGACCCATTGCCTGCTTCGTCATCCATTGCCCCCGAAGGATATCCAGAGGAGGGTACACCTGAAGATATCAGGCGCCGCTTTTTCCCCTCACTTCCTACTGGCGATCCTAACCTCGCTTGGATCGAGTCCACGCCGGTGCCGGATCCTAGCATGCCTGCCCTTCGCTTCGACCTTCATGGCACACCAATACCCCCCGAATTATCCATAACCCTGCCAACGCACTTAGGACTTCATCACCATTCAGATGGCGCACGCGCTGGCTATACCCTCGATGATGTCTTCCTACTTACGCGCTCGACTGTCCCTGCGCAACGCGTTGCTATGTTTGGCATTCTTGCTGGCATCGTGCGAAGACTTGCTAGCATGGAAAAGGGCATTTCAAGAGATACAAAGGGAATGGAAGAGTTGTCTGGCAAAGAAGAGGAAATCCGAAAGCGATCCATCGCTGTGGGCGCAGAAGCAATGGCTGAGAGAGGGAGCCTCGGCTCGAGAGCGGTGGAAGTATTATGGCAAGCTCTCGTCGGGTGGGACGAGGAGTTAATGGGCGCCGACGGCGCAGAGCTATGCACTGAACCTCACGGCGAAGCCCCACAAGATGAGGAAGGTGATGGCGCTTTATTAGGGGGCGATGCTATATCAACTCTGCGGTTGGGATTCTTTCTCCGTCAAATAACGACGATCTTCGACGCGGCGGACCTTCCTCAGCTCTCGCTATCGCAACTTTTAGCCATACTTCAACGCCTTGCGATGCATAGTAATGCCATTGCGGATGAAATCACCGCCACACCCTCGCTTGTCGCTAAATTGTTTCGTACGTTCATTCTGACGCCTCTTCCTCCGTTTGAGAACTCGCCTCTGCCCAATCCCGCCGCCATTCACCTCCTCATCACTCTTGCCTCAGCTTCCCGCGTCTCAGCTTCCAGACTGCTCGACCCTACTGATGCGCTGCTGCGTTTCCTAACGCCAGCTCCATCCTCATCGCCCTATTCACTTCCCCTCGCCACAAACCTCCTTACACAAACATTGCGCTTATACACTGTGTTCGCTCGCTATGGCCTATATGCCCATATTGCGACAACCGCCGCAGAACCCCTTGCTCGTCTGTCTTTGTATATTCTCTCAGCAGACTGCGACTCGCGCCCATTATTAATCGCCTATGCTTCACTGTTGGCTGCCTGGACAACTTGCGCCTCTGATCCCCACCAAACAACGCCGCCGCACGACATACTTTGGAGTCAAGTCTCTGGTTGGGATTGGATATCGAATTTCACCGCTGTCGCTCGCAAACTCACGCAAGAGGCTTCGGACTGGGGCACATGGGAGGCATTGTGGAATGCGGAGGCTGCGTGGCTTGAAGGCGCACGTCATAACGGCGTGCGTGGTGGTACTAATGAGAGGGAAATCTCGCTGGCGCGTTTGAAACCCGCATTCGATGACGGGACCGAAAAGGAAGTGGTCCTTTGTGCGATATCCACGCTGAAGCGCTTGCTAAGCGAGGTGCCCACGAGGTATGATGCTAGTTCTAGTAGGGGTGTAGCGTTCTATCATGAGATAGCGGAATCTGCCTTGGTGCTCAGTTCCGCAATTCGTCTTTGGCTAGCATGTCTTCCTCTGGACTATGGACCGCTCCCCGAGCCCCCTTTCCAGCTCCCATTCTCCCTCCTCGGCATGTTGGCAATATTTAGCGTCACTCATCCGCTTCTTTCTGAACCGGCCCGCATCCCGCCACGTTTACGACCTTTCATGCGTCCCTTGGTCTCATTTGTCACAAACTACGTGTGGCTTTCGCGTCGCCTGCCAAATACCAGTCGCCGTTTCTGGCTCGCCCAACTCAGTATCGCCGTTATGCGATTCCTTCCGGGTGACGAGGATGCTGCCCGTGGCATACTTGACGCTATCGTCAACTTGATTGATGAACAGTGTCTCCTTGACTTTGGTTGGAGTGTCCCGTCTGAAGTGTGGTCCAGTGGTGGACTACGCATGCTCACTCCTTTCCTTGTCTACGACCTCGTGCCCCGTGTTGATCATGGCGAAGGCGAAGGGGTTCCACGCGTCCGAGTTGCGCCGCTGTTTCCTGTGCCTCATTCCCTCAAGTTCGTGACAACCCAGCGTCTTCCGTCCATGGGCGGCTCCACATTCCTATTTGCGCACGACTGGCCACTTCTCCCCTTGGACCATCTCCTGCATTCTGGAACATCACCAGTGTGGCAGACCCTGCCTGCGGGCTGGGATGCTAGCGAGACGGAGATGGTTCGCGCCACACTTCTGCTCACACGCGTCGTGCGCGAGGCAGTATTTGCAAATGGGACGCCAACATTCATGATGACGCGTGCTGAGGTTACATTCAGTTGCATGAAGGTCTTCATGCTCGAACACGAGCAGGGTCAAGGTGCCCCGTCCGCAAATGGCGAAGACCGTGAAGAAGTATTCCGTGACAGCGTCGTCAGCGAACTTATGAATGGGCTTCTTCTCCCTCTCACGCTCAGCGCGTCCCCGAATGGCCTCTCCGCATCTACTGCGCCAGATGAGCAGGACAATCTCGAGCTCGCCGCTGCTCGGTTTCTTGGTGCAGGAACGCCGTTCTTCCAGTTCTACACGGATTTCGTCACGTTATACGATGCCATCTCTTTCGGCCACCCGGTCTTCGCTGCGCTGCTGCTCCCGCCCCTCTCCCAACATTATGCGCCCGATTATCACAAATTGCTGTACGACGATACCGCGCACGTCCTCGGCACCGTGCGTACGCCCGTTGAGCGCGTCATCGGCGAAGCTGCCGGAGCGTTTCTGTGGCCTGCGGAACGGGTACCCCAGATTGTGGGCGCACAGCTCAGCCTTCTCGTGGGCCGCCGCGCACGCGTACCGATTGAAGGCTTTGTGCGCTGGATGGCGGTGCATCATGTCGCGGCGAACATATGGCCTGATCTGCGCGACGACCCTTCTAGCCCTCTCGCCGATGAACGCGGACGCAAATTGTTGGAAGCGCTGATAAATCAAGGGGAGCATGGGGCCGTCCGTGAGGTCGCCCTGTACTGGCAACGGCGGGAGGGTCGCGTCGTGTTGCCCCCCGTCTGCTTTGATCTAGACCCGGTAGCGAGAAGCAATCGGCTGGCCTGGATTAAGGGCTGGGCAAAAAGTGATCTAATAGAGCGCGTGGGAGGGTTATTAGAAGTCCAAGAGTAGCCGTAACAGCGTAGGGTAACCTGACCTTTCACCTTCTTAGCACTTTTCTGTGCTATTATGCTCCTGACTCAATCTCGCTGTCCCCCACTATCCCCCACCATCATATTCGTAATTCATAAGCTCGCTATCAAGTCGTATTCACTCCTTTGCATTCACTGCACCTTATTCGTAAAAGTCATTCATAGGTACGATGTGACGATCGTGGATAAACACTCACTAGTACTCACTTTTACATAATAATAATCAACCCTCGTCATTTGTAAAGGCGCTGTGACTGGTTCCTTCATCTTATCCGTTCGCCCTCGTCTGCCGTATTAATCCCGTCTCTCCGTTGACCCTTCGTCACGGTCTCCGTTATTCGCATCACCACCTCAGAGCACCTTTGTCTCTGATGCCGCCTTGTCTCAGTCATTCCGTATAACTTTTCAGATCATAGACTTCGGCTTTGTTCCTACCCACCCTGGTCGTAGTTATGTCGTTGGTCTCGTCCCTCGACAGTGTCGACACAGATCTATTCACACCCCTCCGCCTCCCTTCGCCATCTTACTATCTCTGTCCATGCCTTGCCCTGCCAGTGTATCAACACCCAGTAAACTCGCAACATCATCTTCAACAGTATAAGAATGATAGTCTATAACTACTTGTGTCAGTAAGGCGTATCCCTGGACTGACTTAACCTTCAACAGGCAAGGTATTGTTATAGCCAACGCTGATACCAAAGTCGGTGCTCTCTACGAACATGCCCGAGTAGATCAACGCCTCGCGCGAACCCTCCTGAATACCAAA